GAAGGAAAAAGATGATTAGGGTTTGGGGATGTGGGGTTTGTTAGTTGTTTGGATTTTTTTTTAATTTATTTATTTTGACTTAGTCAAATAGAGGGGTGAGTTGGGTAGATTGGATATGGGCCTTATAAAATACAAGGATATATGAGGGTTAAAAAAATCTTTTTCATGAAATTGTTAACGTCTGTTAGACAAAAGGGGTGCAACTGTCACACGTGTTCAAATGTCAAGGAGTCTCAGTGTAATTTTTAAAATATGAGGGGATGTTCGTATAATAAAATCAAATGTCAGGAGGTGTGAGTGTAATTTATCCCAAAAAAATTTTTATCCAATGATCATCTTCTTCGGAAGTAATACTATTTGAACTTAATTTGCTGATCTTATATATTGATCTAATCATTCATTGTAAGTGAATTGATAGTGAACATTACTATTGATTGGGATATGTTATCAATTTAATAGCTATAATTAGGCCTGTCAAAATTCGGTAAGACACGATTAACCGACACGAATCGACACAAATTAAGTGGGCTTAGGTGAGATTTTAACGGGTTTGGATGGTAAACGAGTTAATCCATCATACACGTTTAATACATGGATCGTGTTTCGGTGAAACCTATCAACCTGTTTATCACACATTTACCCGTTTAAATAAAATTAATATAATAATAAATTAATAATTATTTTAAAAATGTCTATAAGTAGCAAAGAGAAAAAATACCTTATGTAAGTTTTTTTCTTCAAAGTAAATAGAAGAGAAAAACTAGAAGGAAAAGAGAATAAAACCAGAGTCTTTCACTATAGCCAGGGGCAGCCCAACCTAGTTTGGGGCCCCAGGCGAAAATGTTATACGAGGTCGTATAAATATTTATTTAGTAATAATAATAATATTAAATATTTATTAAAATATGTTTAGTTACAAATTATTTGTTTTGCCTTTTGAAATATAACATATTAATTCAAATTTAAAATTTTACAAATAAAAATTGTGTTATTCGAAGTCAATATGAAGATCAAATACAATGATACATACTATTTGTTTAAGATAAAAGAGAAACATAATTGAAAAATTATAGTCATTTTGTGCATTAAACAAACTTATTTAAAAATGACCTCAAATTTAATTTATACAAATGTAAAATTATTATTCATATCTATTATATGATAGACAGTAGATTTTAATAATAAGACTGTAAAGTGATAATATATATAATATAATTATTGGGTGAGATAAAAAAATAAGTTAAACTTTAGGGCCTTAATTTTTTTTTTGAAAGAGGTTCTAAAATTTTTACAAAATGTTAGTTGCATTTAATTTAAGAACCAAGTACATTAGGTCAATAGTAAATTTTGTTTAAAGTTAACACTCATTATTAATTCAATAATTAAGATATATTGAGTATTTAAATTATATTTTAAAATTTTAATTATATATCATTGTTTATTTTATTTTAGGGCCCCAAATTTTTCTTCCAATTTGGGGGTTCTAGGCGATTGCCTAAGTGGCCTAAAGGGTGGGCTAGCCCCGACTATAGCCTAGGAAACATGGATACGAATACGTGACACGGGTACGATACGATACGGATACAGCAATACGACAAAACTTAAAAAATAAGATACGGGTATGACCAGTATACGTCTATAATAAAATATATTTTATATTTTACTATTATTTAACTACTTAGAAATTATAATTTTTCAATAATTCTTTAATATTAGTAAATAAAAGTAGGAATTTTTAACATGAAAAGGATGCAATATCGTTTCATTATGATATGTTCATAAAATGAGCATGAGCAATTGAAGGAATCATAATCATATTTAACTAGTTAGTTTTATAAGTATTTATTTTTAAAAGCATAGTGTAAGTGACTCATTTTTTTTATACTCTCTTAACATGTAATAATAGATAATACTTAAAAAACACTTTCAATAGAATTTTGTTGTTGTTTTATATTGTATGTGAACTCCAAAGGAGTATAGCTTAAAATTAAAAATTGTATATCTTGCTTCATGTTTAGAAATATCCGCAAAGTATCCACGTATTTTATTAATTATCGGATATGGATGATGTGTATTCGATACATATTATCGAGTATCCGACGAGCATTGTATTCAATACGGTATCCAATACGGGTACGTCGACCTTAACAAAATATCCGTACTTCATAGATTATAATCTTCTAAGAGTCTCAGCTATAAGAATTTAATGGAATCTCACCATCAAAAGAAGTAGAAATAAATAGAAAGTTTTACACCTCAACATACCTTGAATGTGAATAGGTATCCTTAGGTTCTCTGACTATCACGTTCTTTCCATAGATGTTTTGGTAAAATTTGATTGTTTTGGATTATAATTTGTACTTTATAATATTGTGTGATATATTTAAATATCACATTTTTTTGTGTTAATTTGTTAATTTTATAAAATTATATAACATTTAAAAAAAAAATAAGTAAATAGGTCTAACGGGTGGTTTACTATATTAACCCGACCTTATCAAACACGACTCTTTTAAAGCTAAACGAGTTAAATAAGTCGTGTCATATTATCCGTTTATTAAATGAATTGTATTCGTGCTAAAATTTTCATCCGTTTATTAAATGTGTTATGTACAAATTTCTAAATTTTTCACTCGTTTAATTCGACATATTTGATATCCCTAATTATAATACATTTAAGTCATAAAATATGGTCCAAATAAAGGTCATCCACCGTATCTCTTTATACACCAACCACATTCAAAGCCTCGGTTCCACCACCCACGGAAAATAAAAATGCTACTGAAACGTTCTGAAACATAATTTAGAAACATAATAATTATAATTTAGAAACATAATAATTACATCTCATTATATCCCAAATTGAATCATAGCAAATCCCTAAACGTCACAACCTAATTGCTACAACTAACCCCAAATTCACCATCACTGCAGCGCCTAGGCCACCACCAAGTCCATAGCTAGGGCTGGGCACCGACTTTGAGGAAGTCGGAATGCAAACATTCGATCTCCGACTTCGACTTCAGTTAGAGTGCATTTTTTTCCTCCTACTCTGACTCCGAACTACTATAATTCCGTTTCCTTTTCCAACTCCGCTTGTCGGAGGCAGAGCAGAAACAGTGCGGAATTCAGAAATGAACATAATTCAAAAATATCAAAAAATACCATCAAAATTTTTTAAGTGTTTGCCACTGATAGCTTGAGAGCTTGTTTCCCTGAGAGCTTGTTTACTAATAAAGAGAGAGAATTAATGTCTAAGAGAGATCGTCGGAGATGAGAGCCTCGTCGGATATGAGACCATCTTTGGAGAGGAGAGCTTCGTTGTTGAGATCTCAGATCTGATAACTGAGATCTCATATCTGAGTATCTCAGATCTAAGAGGGAGAGAGATGGAAGGGATGATCGTTGTCCTCGACTCTGAGAGAGAGAGAGGATTGCCATTGCCGGTGTGTGTCGTTTGAGTGAGAGAGAGAGAGGGGATAAGGAGATAATTCGAAGTGGCGGAGGTAGTGTTTATTTATAGTTGAACTTAGGGTCTAGGCTTAGGGATTTAGGTGGGTTAGAGGGTGGGCTTAGGGATTTTGGTGGGTTGGGCATAATATTTTGAATTTATATATTACCTAAATTAATAAAAGTCAGAATCGGAGTCGAATTTAAATTTGGATTCGAATTTAGATTCAGAGTTTTTTCGGAATGAACTGCAAACTCTACAACTGCAAATTTTCTTTGACTTCTACTCCGATTCTGACTCTGATAAAGGCGAAATCAAAGAAAGAGTCGAATTTTCGGATTCTGGTACATCCTTATCCACAGTATTTCTGTCCTTGTCAAACCCACCCATGCAACCACCATCGCACCGTTAAATTACATGCACACACAGAGAAAAGTAGAGGCACACATATATAGAAGGCACGGCACCACCACATATTCATGAAAAATCTGGCCACCGCCACATGCCAATGGGCTCTAAACCCTCGCCACTACAGCGCAACCACCACCTTGGACCCATGGCTCGAATCAACACCATTACTACACGACCAGTTCCCAAACACTATCAAAACCACTGCACCACCGGACTCAAACATAGAATACCACCCAACAAACACCGATCAAATCTCATTCACTCAAACTCTGCATTAGGCCTGGCCTGCAAGAGAGGCAGGCCCAAACTCTGCATGTTGGGTCAGCCCGACTGCAATACGTTATTCATCAAATTATACATACCAATTTGACGGTTTACCAAAAGAAAATACGTAAAGTTAATTAACGGGGGATTAATGCTTAGGATAGAAAGAACAGCTGGGAGTGGGATAGCAATAGTAGTTTCATAAGACAGCTTAGCGTGTTTCCAGCGAGTACATGTGACATGCCTCGTTGCTCCTGTTCTTCTTCTTTTGGGTTAGATATTTAAATCTGATTGAGGAAATACTATTAATAACTACATTAAAATCACAGATCATGGGCTCCAGACATCAAGTCCGGCTTTGGACACAAAATAATAAGTTTTACTCAAAAGATATTCTTTCAAAAAAAAACAAAAACTCCAAAGATAATAAATGAACTTAAAAGATGAGTGCACCACAAAAGTTAGTAACTTTTACTTAAAGAAGGTATAAATATCTAAAAAAAATATTGATAAGTAATATAGTACTAAATATTTTTTTAGTATTGTAGTGAATTTGTATTTTTTTTTTTTAAAGTTGATTACTCCTTCAAGTTTTACAATTAATCATCATGTCGAATAAAATTTTAAAAAAGAATTGAATTTGCCATCTTTAAATTATCATAGGCTGTGGTTCCCAGTATATATGCAGATTCATAGTACTATTGACAGAGAGAGCGCACCACCATGTATGGTGGTCAGCACCATTTTTTTTTTTTTTAAACATTATTTTCATTTGAATATTGGCAAATTGAAATGTCAAATTGTTCCTACAAAAAAAAGGTCAAATGTAATGGAAGGGAAATTTCTACCGGGATACAAAGGAGACTGTTTTTTTTTCAGGGTAAAAGGTAGCCCATTCTTTTCTTTGGCATACAAGTCAAGGAACACCCAGACAGACCAACTAGGTCTAAGTGGGCATACTATTATATCTTTCCATTGCATATGCTTGATAATTCTAACCTACGCGCTTTGCTCATCTGGGCCAACCTTAGCCGTCTTCAGATCCTCTGTAATGGTCACTGGTCAGAGAAAGGAAAGCATAAGCAACAGTGCTCTGTAAAGTCCCCTATTTTGCAAGCATCCGAAAACAACATAAAATTAAAGGGTGAGTTTCTCTTCCCTCAAAATTCAGTTTTTGTTTTTCCTTTTGATTTACTCTTAGAACATAGATTTTATTTTTTTTAAATAATAATCCGCCCTTAGAAATTCTGGGTTTTTGTTTTTTGTCTCCGGAAGGTATTATGGATTTTTGTTAATTTGTTCTATTTGATCAGTTTCGTTACTGGGTTGCTCTCATCTATGCCTAAAAATGGAATTTGATTACGAAGAAATGAATTTCAATTAAACGAAAGACTTCACCGCAAAAAAAAAAGGCGGGCCTTTGGATGTGTGTAATTGATTAATTGATCATTTCTTGTTTATTGGCGTAATTTTCCATGTTTGTGTGTTTTACTTCATCAGCTGGTATGGTATTGAATTGTACCGGATTGATCTGGAGTGGGTGAAAAGTGGATCGAGTAGAATCTGGGATTGATTGTTCCCCTGAGACAGTCACATGATAACTGTGTGTTGCAAAATACTGTTCTTTTGAGTTGCCCTCGTCGTGGCTCTGATTTTTTCTGTTAAGTGAAAAAAAAGGGTGTGCTTTGTTGACTCTGTTAAATTTTTTTTCGTAATGCATAGATTAACTCAATGGTAACATTTCTTTAGCACAATTATAACTGATAAGATCGTTTTTGAAAAAAGAGTCTCAGTAGTCTGGCTCTGTTGGTTGCTGAGAAACTGGAAGAACCAAAAATAAAGAATAGCTCAAACCTTATACTTCTGGATGTTGCAGTATGGGCAGAAATTGGAATAGTTGACTCGATTCAGTATCATAGAATTTCTGGGTTTGATTGAAGTCCTTTTTTAATAAATCAGAATATGCAACTTTTAACTATGTTTCCTCAAGTTTTTTGTTGATTGATGAAAGAACAACGTAATTCTGCTGCTTATTTTAGGGTAATTTTGGGCAACACTACAGATATGAAGAAAATTATGAATGAGCTGTACCATTATCAGTGTTGATGGAGTCAATGACAAGCAAATTTTGAAGCATTTTGGTCGTTTTTATATAGGTTGATTTTTGACCACACTTATTGTTTTGTTATGTTATATATTTCAGTCATCACTGCAGTTGCTAGCATAATGCAGCTCACATTGCGTGCGTCCAATGGAGATAATAACCTTGTTACTTAGATCTTCGAAGTTGAAGGAATTATGTCAACCATGTGTTTGATATTCATAATATTTCACTGCCAAAAAGGGAAATATGTAAACAAGGAATTATTTCACTGCCAAAAAGGAATTATGTCAACCATGTGTTTGTTACATACATTGCACCTTCTCTGGCATAACCACCACTTTCTCTCGGTGGGAAAAAGAGAAAGAAAACAGACCAGATCAGGTGCTTTGTATTTCATGTGGCCATAGTATGTGCCAGCCAATAGGAGTATAATCTATGAAGCACGGATACTTTGTCAAGCTCGAAGTATGTGTATTAAATACGATACTCGTCGGATATTCGAGGATACGTATCGGATGCACATCATATGTATCTGATAATTAATAAAATATGTGGATACTTCGTTGATATTTTTTTAACATGAAGGAAGATGTATAATTTTTAATTTTAATCCATACCTTCTCCTTCCGAGTTCACATACAATACAAAATATCAACAAAATTATATTTGATTTTCAAGACACAATTTTTTTAAGTATTATTTACTATTACATATCAAAAGAGTATAAAAAAATAAGTTAATTACATTATATTCTTAAAAACAAATACTTATAAACAAACCAACTAGTTAAAATGTGGTTTTGATTCCTTTAATTGGTTAATCTCATTTTATGGATATATCATAATGAGACGATATTACATCTTTTTCAAGGTAAAAATCCCTACTTTTATTTACTAGTGTTAAAGAATTATTGAAAAACATCGTAATTTTTAAGTTGTTAAATAATAGTAAAATATAAAATATATTTTATTATGACGTATCTTGACCGTACTCATATCTTTTTTTTTAAAATTTTGTCATAACACCATATTCATATTGTATCATATCCGTATCCGTGTTTTTTAGAGTATAGTTGACTTAAGTCTGGCATAAGGATAACATTAATAGTATTTTATTTTCTATATTATCTGGGAATGATGGCATATTTATGAGGATTAACTTTCACTTAAAAGAAAAGGATTAAAAATAATTAAATTTCATTGGATGTTTTATGATGCATTCTGATATTGCTTCTGATGTGGCCCTTCTGCTAATTTTATATGTCTTAAAACATGCTGCACAATTATGTAAGAACTACTTTTCAAGTAGGGAAACTTTCTCCTCATTCAAACTAGTTTTTCTTGACACCTCCAGCCTTTTCATTTGAGGAAAACGAATCATGAGCTGCTTCAGCTGTTGTGCAGAAGATGATATGCAAAAGGCTGCTGATAATGGACCATTCATAGCGAATAACTCAGCAGGTAAATTGTACCCCAATACCCGGTCTCTGGTTATTCTTTTAAAATTGACTTGTGCATGAAACTACCATGCATTTGTGGTTTATGTTACTTGTTTGGCTTTCTTGATCAGTCGATTCAGTTGTATGGATGTATATGAAGTACAACTATGGCCATGCCTTAGCATCCTGCCATTTTTGTTTCATTAACCTTTGTTCTCGATACCGTTCATGAAGTTTCTCATTTCATCGATTTAAAACTTACTGGAAAATTGATGTGTAGGTAATACTGGAGGTTATCGTGCCACAGAAGCTGCACCAAAGGACACACAGGCTGTGAATATCCAGCCTATTGCTGTCCCTGCTATTCTGGTGGATGAGTTAAAGGAAATTACAGATAACTTTGGTACAAAGGCTTTGATTGGTGAAGGCTCGTATGGAAGAGTATATTATGGTGTCCTGAAAAGTAGGCAGGCTGCAGCCATTAAAAAGTTGGACTCCAGTAAGCAACCGGACCAAGAGTTTTTAGCACAGGTTGAACCTACCACAAGATGCTATTTATAATGAAGCTACATTATTTGCAACTTTTATTCAAAATTTCCCTCATCTGATGCATGATGTGACAGGTTTCTATGGTTTCAAGGCTGAAACAGGAACATGTCGTTGAGCTACTTGGTTATTGTATGGATGGTGGTCTCCGTGTCCTTGCCTATGAATATGCTTCAAATGGATCTCTTCATGATATTCTTCATGGTATGTATGGCAGGTTTTTTCTGTGAGGTTGAATGTTTACACTTGCTACCCCACACATAAAGTGAGTTTTCAAATCCTGTGCATACTGTGAACTTTAAATCCGCTGCTGAAAATATGTTGGTGTCTTCAATGTATAATGTGATATATATATAAGGGTGAATTTTCATTCCTTCGGCAATTTTTTTTTCCTCGTTGGTTTTGGTTAGTTTGAAATTTGATGACTGCAACCTCATGGTGAATAGCTAAATTGACAGACACATGCTCTTCCATTGTACTTACTGGGCTTGGTTGTACACGTGTAAGTCTTCTCTCTGTACTTCTAAAAGCATTCGCATATGGAACACATCAGTTCCATGGTTTTAAGGAGTAGCCATTACGCAACGTATTAAGGAATTGGCAGGTGCCGATCCCGTTACAGCCCATTATTCTTTTAATCTTAATGATTCTTATATTAGATGACTTACTGAATGAAAGTATTTCTATTACTTGAATTCAAACTGAAAATATCATCATGTACTAGACTAAGGATCAAAGACATTTAGATAATAGTTATAAATTAGTGTACATGATTCTTTAAAATATCTTTGAAACCAAATTTGTTTGATTTGGGAGTTAAGATATGTATCACTATAACTTTGGGGAAAGTTGCGAATCTCCTAGAGATATTCATGTTTGTAGGGTTCCTGTTGCGTAATATCTGCTACATCCTGTTTCCACAACACCATGACTGCTATCATTGTAGGGATCCTTACCATTATCTAAAACAATGTTCAGTTCTAGGGAGCTAATTCACTTGAAGTCAACTTTGCCTATGTGTAACTGGACCATGCCTAACTGTCTCAATGTGATTAACATGTTGCTTCTTTGAGCAGCCATGGGTTTTTTACTGCAGAAAGGAAACACATTATTTTGGACTTATCCCATCTTATATGCTTCTTCACATATAGGCATTGTGCATTTTCCCCCAGTTCAAATGTAATATCCTGTCAATAATCTCTTCTTATTTTATGGTTCCCTTGGCTCATCACAGCTTGCTGCTTGTGTATCTTGTGATATAAATAATATTTTCCAATTTGTGGATATAGGACGTAAAGGTGTCAAAGGAGCACAGCCAGGTCCAGTTCTGTCATGGGCTCAAAGAGTTAAAATTGCTGTTGGGGCTGCAAAAGGGCTCGAGTACTTACATGAAAAGGCACAGCCGCATATAATCCATCGTGACATCAAGTCCAGTAATGTTTTACTTTTTGATGATGATGTCGCTAAGATTGCAGATTTTGATTTGTCAAATCAAGCCCCTGATATGGCAGCACGTTTACATTCTACTCGTGTTCTTGGAACCTTCGGTTATCATGCTCCAGAGTAAGCTCTTTATTATAGTTTTGAAAATAGATGCATTTTGTTTTGTTTGATGGAGAACTGATGTTTGCCAACCACAAACCTGGCACTTGATAGGAGGAAATGCTGGGGCATCACTTAATAGTGCAGCCCTAGGATTATCTCATTCAAAATGTAGCCTATCACTTGTCCAGGTGTTTTCAGATATTCAATATGGTATCTTACAAAAACTATGGATCATTCTTGAAAAAAAGGTAATAAATATATATGGGAAAACATGAGATGTTTCTAGGGGAGTAAAATAAGTAGATGGTTGGATCCACTCGTTTTGTACCAACTACAGGTGTTGGGCTTATCATCTTAGCCATATGTTCTTCCTTTACTTCTATAGACAATTTTCATAATCCAGCCGTTTTTAAATGTGGTGTTCCTGTGGACTGCTTTCTACTTGAACATCTATATTCTTATTGGCATGTGTACCATGGAATCATGCCTTACTGGTCTAAGTTTTCTGGTTTCTGTTGGCAGATATGCAATGACTGGACAACTGAGTTCAAAGAGTGATGTTTATAGCTTTGGTGTCGTCCTCCTGGAACTCTTGACTGGGCGTAAACCTGTTGATCATACATTGCCACGTGGACAGCAGAGTCTTGTGACATGGGTAATCATTTGATCTTCACTGCTTCTTGTCATATGATTCCTATATGTTACTGATATACCTGTTATGGACACTGTTATTCATGGATTGTAATAATCTAATATTTTCTTTCTCTACACGTGGATTGTGATAGGCAACACCGAAACTCAGTGAAGATAAGGTGAAGCAGTGTGTTGACAATAGACTGAATGGAGAATACCCTCCCAAGGCAGTTGCAAAGGTACATTTTAGTCTTAATTAAAGGAATGATTTGTTCCATGTGCACTTTTCTGTTCACCAGTTGCAATGGTACTATGCCTCCTCCCAGAAGCTGTAGTCCAAGTTTGAACCAAATATTCTGTCTGATGAAACTTAAAAAGTATTTGGCATCATATTATCCCTTCTAATTGTCATGTGCTGGAAACAGATGGCTGCAGTTGCTGCTTTATGTGTGCAGTACGAAGCTGATTTCCGGCCAAACATGAGCATTGTAGTAAAAGCTCTTCAGCCTCTGTTGAGCGCTCGATCTGGACCTCCCAATGAAACACCAAACTTGTGAATTGCCCCTTTCCCCTTGACGTCTACTGTGAAATATGTCATCAATATTTTCTTTGTAATAGTCTGTACTCTTTCATTCATTAAATTTTACAGTGTAATGCATAGAATCAGTCTACATATGCACTGACATGATTGGCATGACTGTTCTTTGCTTTTCGGTTGGATTGAAGGTTTTGGAATTGTCAACAGGAGCTATGTTCTTCGGTTTATCTTGTATGGGTTTTGTCTTTGCCGGTTTCATAACGTGGGGGAAAGAGAAAAGATGAAATTAAAAAGGATTAAAAAAAAATCGGCCGTTATTTTGTTTTAGGAAAATTCGTAGTTCAAAATTACTTCCGCTTGCCACATTTTAAGAGGGTTACTTTTAAGTTTATTTTTTCATTCATTTCTTAATCAATTTGAACAAGCGAATATACTATGTTATTCTCTGCACGGAATAGAATACGAATCCATGAAAGTTTATTCAAAACGATAAATGAGTTCCACTTTAATTTAGATTTAAAATCAACCAAAAATCAGTTTTTAATATCCAAATGCTATGACAAGAGTCGATTGATGGAAGGCTTTGATCTGTATTGTATTGTGTAAGACAGAATAATGCTATGTATACCTAAATTTGTAACATAATTTGCTGAAATGCATGCTGATGTGGAAAATGATATGGTCACCAATGAAAAAGTCTAACAAATGCAATTATAATAATATTGTGGACCATCTCATTACTATATCATAAAGTCAAGTCAGCAAAATTATGTTAGAATTTTAAGTACAAATAGGGTCACTTCACTCCTATAAGAAATGAACACATAAAATGAACCTAACGGGGGCTGTCAGTCCGAGTCCTCCCATGCTTCCAACTCCAGTAAAGGTACAGTATGTATTTCTTTTGCAAATGCGCACAACAACCGGTCTACCACCTCTGAATTGGATTATATGCCTGCCCACCAGTGAGAGAACAGTGAGAAATTCAGAAACATATGCTTGTTATGAGATCAGGCTTCAATGGGCTTTTGCACAACACTTGTAAATGGGAGTCGGCACAGTTCATTAGTCTATTATTCGTTTCTATAACTACAATCTTCTTGAAATGTTTACAGAAAGAACCATGAATTCAAACCAATGCAAAAAGGCGGGGTGAAACCAACCTTACATGATTTACACACTCAAATCACAAATATGATATGCACATCTTAGGAAAGAACAGGGTAATATCAAAAACTGATACACCCTCAAACATCAGGCCTTGCATTTTCTTCCGTCGTCTCTCAATGTGAGTAAAAGTAATTGGATGTTAATAACAACTCCCCCATTCTATGATGACGAATTTACTCAAAATGTTTCCCCAGCCTTCAGATACAACAATCTCCTTGTTGTCGGAGCTGGAGGAGCCAATCCGGGGATATCTCTGATGCTTTTATTGTTGGGATTCATAATCTGCACATTTACATGTGTACATTTGCTAATGACAAGAATCAATTGACGGAAGGCTTTGACCTGTATTGTATTATATTGTGTATGACAAAAATTTGATAACATAATTTGCCGACATGCATGCTGATGTGGTTAATGATATGGTCACCAATGAAAAAGTCCAACAAATACAATTATAATAATATTATCGGATCATGTCACTACTATATCATAAAATCAAGTCAGCAAAATTGTGTAAAATTTTTAAGTACAAATAGGGTCACTTCACTCCTATAAGAAATGAACACATAAAATGAACTTAACGGGGGCTGTCAGTCAGAGTCCTCCCATACTTCCAACCCCAGCAAAGGTACCACCTGATCCACCTCAAATGCCAGGCCTGTGTTTTCAGAGATTTCAAATTAAATAATCTTCAAAGGATTCGACATACAAAGACATGATCCAGTATGTATTTCTTTAGCAAATGCGCACAACCACCGGTCCACCACCTTTGAATTGGATCATATGCCTGCCCACTAGTGAGAACAGTGAGAAATTCAGAAACATATTTCTACGTATGTTGGAATGATAGCAGGATGCTCGTTATGAGATCAGGCTTCAATGGGCTTCTGCACAACACTTGTAAATGGGAGTCGGCACAGTTAATTAGTATATTATTTGTTTCTATAACTACAATCTTCTTGAAATGTTTACAGAAAGAACCATGAATTCAAACAAGTGCAAAAAGGCGGGGTGAAAGAAACCTCACATGATTTACAAACGCTCAAATCACAAATATGATATGCACATCTTGGGAAAGAACAGGGTAATATCAAAAACCGATACACCCTTCAACATCAGGCCTTGCATTTTCTTCCGTCGTCTCTCAATGTGAGTAAAAGTAATTGGATGTAAATAACAACTCCCCAATTCTATGATGATGAATTTACTCAAACTGTTTCCCCAGCCTTCAGATACAACAATCTCCTTGTTGTCGGAGCTGGAGGAGCCAATCCGGGGATATCTCTGATGCTTTTATTGTTGGGATGCATAATCTGCACATATACAGCGAGTAAAAATTGAGCTCCTTAAGCGCTCGCATGCATGAACATTTACGGCATCATTCTGCATCTCACAAAGTGTAGGATGCAAAAAATGGCCTGGAATGCAAGAAGCACTGCATGCAACACACTAAGTGTACGATGCAAAAAATGGCATAAGAGTCCTAGAAGCACTATGACATGACATATCTTGGCATTTGCAGTTCATGTTCTCCACACAATAGCACATAAACTTGAATTATTACCACGCATAAGAGTGAAAGCACAGACATTAATGAATCGGTATGAACTTAAATAGAAAGAAGCATCATTTAACCCTGAGAATTTATTTCTTTAGGACTTGACAATGTTACCAAAAACAGTGAATATTAATTTTTATATAGTTATACATGATATGATATTTGATAACAAAATACTAAACTCTTTTTGAATTCATATCTTCTTCCTATGTAAACAGAAAACTAATTCCCAAAGAATTAATTTTGCAGGATTCCTTGAAGATTTCCCCCAACCAGAAGTTAATGACAACGCCACAGCAACAACTATATGAAGTTATGGCACAACTTGTGCTCTATCTAACATTTAAAAAAGCAGCTAAATTAACATACCAGGCATTTTAGAAAAATGGAAAGGTGATTATGTAAAATAGCTTAACAATAATTATGGCGATCACACCACAGACAATAATAGAAAGAAAAAGCATGATGCATTTATCTGTTGCCATCTGGAAAACATCTGGGGATTAGGTTGCTAACAAGAAGACATATAGTGAATATAAGTCGACTTTTTTGGGCGAAAAACTGACATACCTGCCTACCAATCTCCTTCACAAGCTGAGAGGCTTTTTTGATAGAGAACTGAATTGTATCAAGTTCATTAACAATACGACCCATTTGTTCAGCTGCACAAGTTCGAGATTGATGAGATATAGACATCAGAGTTGGCAAAATGCGAGACCAACAAAAAAATGGAGATGCTTGGCGATTTATACTCACTTGACCCTTCAATGTAGTAGCAGTTTGGGTTCCCACTTCAATTGTTTGGCGAACAACCTAAAGGTCAATTGTAAGTTTAGGATACAAGGAACAACAAAATATAAGGACATGCCAAAGTTAACCGTTCACCTGTTAGGAGCGTTCAATGGCTTGATAAGTTTCATCCATTGTCTTCATCCCAGCGTTAACAAGCTGTTGATTGGACATAGCTACAGAACAACCGATGAAAGTGAGGAACTATGACTACCTAGATATCTATAGAAGACCTATAAAGTATTAATGAATAATGATAATGCATAGAAAGTATTAATTAGTAATGATAAATATTACCTCATCTGGTTTAACCTAGAGGGGTAAATAGCACGGCCCGGGCCATTTATGGTGTGTTTGAGATGATTAAAACAAAACAAAGTACCTTTAGTACTTACGAGTTCTCATTAGTACTAAAATTAAAAAAATAGTGTTTAAAATAACTAATTTAAAATTTTTTTGGCTTGTTATAACTAAGTTAAATTACTTTCAAATAAGTTAACAATAATTTTACCACCTAGTTTTGAGTAAAAGCAAAAAAAAAAAAAATTTATGTTTATTAGTGCCACCACTCCTGTCCCCCCCCCCCACCAGGAGGTCCACCACCCATCACCATCACCGCCGCCACCCTCGTCACCACCACCTGCCACACTACCACTCACCACAACTATCACTGCTCTCCCCACTTTCCACCACTATCGTCAACACCATCAATAACATTGTCACTACTATTACTCCGTCACGACCACCATCGTCGCGACATGTGTGTGTGTGCAATAGGAGATCTTAAGTAATTGTCGCATAGATAAGTGTATTTTTGTCCATTATCCAAATGCACTTTTTTATAAAATACTATTAGTGTGAACATAAAAACAGTGTTTATTCAATAAAAGTGATATTAAGTTTTTTTAGAATAACTTACAAATAGTATTAAGTTTTTAATAAGATTTTTTGGAAGCCGGTACATTTAATTGAACTTATTTGACAAAAAGTACATAGAACAAAATGCTTTAGAAAAAAGTACACAGCTGAGTTATAAAAACACAAATGCCCATTTTAGGGTCATTTAATTCAAAATCTCTTATTTTTAATGTACTTTGATTCATGTGTTTGTTAATACATATAAATACGCATATATATATACTAGTAATTGCTCGTGCTTGAAGGTATTGCATTAGTCATAAAAAATGAACAAAAAATTCTACAAAGTAACAACACATATACAAATACATCAGGAAAAAAATTACTAATAGAATCAAATCAAATTTACAAATTGAAAAAAAATATATATCAACTAAATTTAAAAAAAAAAATTTCTTCAATAATATAATGCAATGGACCAAATTTGGAAAGCAATTGCCCTTACAACCAACAATTGCCCAAGTGTCGAAACCCATAAACAAAAGTTAACCCACCCTAAAAATTCCAACATCATCAAAATAATACCACATTATGATTTAACAAATAAAGAGACAAATTCAACTATACTTTTAAAGCAAACAGTGCTCAATGCATCACCAAAAAATTATACTAAAAATTAGTATAAATGAAGCAAGAATGTAGAGAGAGCAAAACAAAATCATATGAAGGACAAAGTGTAAAAAGGACTCCAAGTTCAAATTTGTCTCTTAGGTACACCCTATTCAAACATGGTGATCATATTAACTTTTGTTCCACCCTATTCAAACATTTAAGAATACTAAGTTCCATTCAAAACGAGACAAATTTATTTTCAACATTGATAAACACTATACTAAGTTTTATAATAAATTTATTTTCTACATTATAATAAATTTATTTTCAACATTATACTAAGTTTCCATTCAACATTATAATAAACATTCAAGAATACTAAGGCTACTAAGTATAATTAACACTCTATTAACTCTCTATTGCAAACTCTCACCCAATAACATACCAAACATTATAATTAACACTCTATTGCAAACTCTCAACCAATATGCTATATGTATCATATTGGCTTTAAATTAACATTGAAAAAGAACTACATTTTACTTACCTTCATTTCAGCCACATCCATATCCATCTTAAGGCAAATTACATCAAGCATAGTGTAAGCAAACCCAGCTAGAATTGGAGACATGAAATGGCAAGGTCAACACCATGAAGCTGCAAAATTCACGAACACATGTAAGAAAAATAACATAAATATTAGACATTTAAGACAAATGAATAATTGATAAGCAACCAATAGTTGGCTATAAGGACAAAGAAACTCACATATAACGCATCTAACCAAAATGAAACTATGTCCAATCAGGCTACTAAGTTCTACCCTATTCAAACATTCAAGAGTTCAACCCATTCCACAGAAGAAAATTATAGAGATAGTTATTTAGAGAAACTTTTTTTATTTGATGCAAAACAACAAACACTTTGTGATCATATACAAAACCAAGCCATTTTAACTCACCCTCGACATCAAACAACATAAAATTGAACAAACTTGAAACACCAAGTCCAAGCAAAAGAAAAAAATTGTAACACATGACAACAAATAGTAATAACACATAATATGAAAATAGAAATTGATAACTAATGTTAATAGCAAATAGCATGTCTCAATTTGAACTGTGAATTGTGCTCAATAGCAAATAATTAATAACTAATGCTAATACTAATCTGATGGAATTAGTGCTCAATAGCAAGCTATTTGAGGACCATCACACCCATCCCCTAGCATCCAAAGGAGATCAACTCCAATGGGGAATTATAATTGAACACAGAGGGCAATTACAATCCAATCAATTTCCTAAAAGTGAAATTCAATTACTTACCGAAAAAAAAAGACATTACTGGCGTGAAGGTTCAATACAATATAATATAGAAATTGTCAAGACAAAATTGTATAATTGCTAACATCAAATTGGGGGAAAAAAAGAAAATCCAAGAAGCTTGAAATTGATAACTAATGCTAATAGTAAATAACATGTCTCAATTTGTCGAGGACCTCACGTTTTTTGGCGATGTCAACAGTGGAATTTGAGAAGTAGAAGACTTCAAAGTCGGAGAAGAATTTCTCCACCTTTTCGATGTCGGCTGAGGTGGCTTCTAGGGTTCCATTGGAATTCGCCACCTCAGAAAATGAGACTTGAAACCTTCAAAAAATTAGAGGTTTGTTATTTTTCTGGCTATAATTTGGGTTGATGGTGGTGATCGGAGTTTGTTGTAGAGCAACCATTGTTGCAATCAAAGGAGAGAGAGAGAAAGAAAAAAAGAGACGTGACTTAGAGAGGAGACTGAGGGAAGGAGAGATAGATATCATATGAGTGAGAGAGAGAGGTTCATGAGCAATAGGAGTCTAGAGTTGTAATGAGATGAAATTGGGGAAAGATGAGGCATGAGAGATTGGGAGAGAGAGAGAGAAGTGAGTCAACAAATATTGTTGGGCGAAAAATTAAAATTTGGTACTCACGGTAGACCGTTAAATCAAATTTTTGAGATGATCTGAACCGTTTTTTATGTTGAGATTACGTTGTTCATTGGATATATTTATGTTGTAGCTCAAAACAATCTGGACCAATTTTTGTCTCTTGGATTCAAACTTCGTTCTCCTTTATTATATAGATATATATATATATATATACACTTGTTTTTAAATCTCTTATTTAAATTTTGAATTATCTTTAATGTACCTTGATTCATGCGTATTTTTTTTTTTGGAAAGTGATTTTGTTTTCAAATTATATTTAATGCACCTTGATTCATGTGTTTTTTTTTAGAAAGTGATTTTATTTTCAAATTAATTTATTTAATATCCAAATAGTGTAATAGTGTAATAATAACAGTATAACAAATACATTGTAACAAAGATAATGTAACAAAAACAGTGTTTAGTAGTTTGTGCACGTGGTAACAAATTCAAAACGAAGGATTATTTTGAATGAAATTATATAAAACTATATATTTGACAAAATGTAATAGTACAATATTTTGTATAAATAGTTTGTTACACTATTATTGTTATATTGTTACACTGTTATTGTTAAACTATTATACTATTTGGATATTAAATTAATTTAAAAATAAAACTACTTTTAAAAAAAAATGCATGAATCAAGGTGCATAAAAGATAATTCAAAATTTAGATAAGAGATTTAACAAATATATATATATATATATGTGTGTGTGTGTGTGTGTGTGTGTGTGTGTTCATGTATATATAAATAAGTAAATATATATAAGTATATATATATATATATAAAATCTCGATAAATAAATAAATATATATGTATCTTCAAAGTATTAATCAATTTCTTTTTTGCATAACTCCAAATATTCTTTATTCATTTGAGTTGGCCTAGCCTTAGTTGGAAGATTTTTTTCATTAAATTCTTTAATATAAGGTACAGTTGCCACGTATTTTTTTCTATTCCAAAAAATAGTAGGAAGGGTATCACAAATTTCTCGGGTTATCTTAGTTTTAATTTCTTTTATTTTTCTTTTAGTTTCTGGAAAGTTAAGCTTATCAGATATCGAGATTTTTATATCTTCTTTTAAATAGTTTAAATGATTTTCTTTATAATCAGATTTTCTTTTAATTTGATTTATCAATTTATTTGAGGCGGAGTTATAAATTCCAATAATATATGTTGACCATTTATGGTAGTCAGAATTCCTTTAAAATCGATTCTTTATATAGGTGCAATTAAAGATAAAAATGATGTTTCCAAAATCACCAATTGATTTAAATTATCAATAAGCATAAAAGTAGTAGGAATACAAATTCCTTGATTACATACAAAAATATTAGAGAGTTTAAAATTTATATTTAATTTTGAACCATCAACAATACTTACTGACTGAGTAGTTTTTTCAAAATATTTAGTCAGAATTAATCATGTCTTTATGCAATTCATATCTGCTCCACTGTCAATTAAAATAATAGTTCCGACAGTAAATTCAAAATTTATAACTAATATGATTTTAACATATCATTTCTGATAAGTTATTTTTTTCAATACATTTAAATATTCATTGTTGAAAGAGTTAGATGGTGATACTTTATCATCTTTTATGTCACTTTCTTTAAGTTTCATTTTTTCTAAAGCTAAAAGTCTAACCTTTTATGACTTTTATGTCTTCTTTAATATCATGAACTTCTTTCTTTAAGTCTTGAACCGTAGTAGGTAAAGTTTCCTTTATTTGGAATGGATTTTCAATTATGTCAATTTTGATTCTATTAATGACTTCTTTTAAAGAATATGGTAGAGACAAATTATGTTTCTTTTCTTTTGAATTTATCTCTAAATATTGTTCAATAGTTTTTCATTTAGAATTTGGATCTTGAATTTTATCTATAAGATCAAGAATAAATGTTTGTGAATTAGTCAAAATATCTATACTTAATCTATTCAGGGCTTTTTGGAAAAAATAATAATAGCATATGGAAGTAACATGATCGATTTTTTCACACTTAAAACATTTAATAGTTTTCTGGTCCTTTTCTTTGAAGACTTTGGTGTAGTTGGTAGGGTTGCTTTCATGATTCCTTTTATGGAAAAGTTGATTTGAATTATCTGTCAGAGAGTCATTGTTTGAAATAGTCAAATTTTTATCATCAATAGGTGCATCAATTAGTGTATTGATATGTTTATCTCCTATTGTTTCTGTTTGAGAAAGATTATTTAATTTTTTCTTGAATTCATTTATAAACTTGGCTTCTTCTATATTTGGAAAACAATTTTTTATTTCAGTTAACTGCTTAGTATCAGATGGAATAAAATAGGCTAAAAACCAATTAACAAAAAGAATTATCCTTCTTTCCCTTTTTATATAAAGGTAAAACATTTCTTTATAATTTTGAAGTTCTTCTGAACTAATAGTTTTAAAAAATTAATTTTGAAATTCTTCATATTTAGGAAGATAAAATTTTTTATTACAGATTTCCTTTATCAACTGTAATTTTCTTGGGTGTAAATTTATAGAAATTATAGTTGGAATTCGATTTCGGATGGGGTTGGATTATAATATTTTTCTAGAGAAGATTCATTAGCTGGTCAATATATACCATTTGAAATATTATTTTTTGAAATTTTAATTCCTTCAATTATGAGTTCTTTATCTCTTCTTTGATTTTGTATTGAGGAAGTAGATTTTCTTAAAGGTGTAAAATAACTTGATGAAGTTTCTGATTTATCCGAAGATTTTAAATTATTCATAGAATTTATTCTAGCAAATTTTATTGTGACATGGCCCTGGGATGATTGGGCGATTTGGATTATTTTTTCATTTATCTCTGGATTCTAAGAGACCACAGACTCCAATTTTCAGGTTTCTAGAAAATGAATTTCTGACCATTTAATAATTTTAGGGACTTCAATTTTATTTTTAACCGTGTTGGTTTCAATTAAAATGGTTTGACCTTTTAGGTTCAAAAGTTTAGTTTCAGGGCATAAAATATTCATGACTTTATAATATACTTTAGAAGCAAACACAATTATATTTGTGTCATCTTTATAATTGTAACCATAAGTTTTAATATTACATGATAAAACATCCAAAATATTTTTATTTGTCAAAGATACAGAAAGATTAGAAAAACAGTTAAAATAAACAAGACCAGTACTTAAGCTGGATTGCATTACTCTTATTAAAGATTAATCAAAATTAAGACATCTAACATCTCGTAATGCTAACATAAAAGAGACATTTAATCCTTGAAGAGTTAAAGGTTTTTAAGCAACTTGGACTAATCAAATATGCAAAAATTTATAATTGTTATATTGAACCTTTAAGACTTCTCTTTCAGTTAACAGTTGTAAAATATCTCAATTCTGATCAAAAGAAACATTCCTTTCAATCGTTTTGATAGTTAAACTCAATTTAAAATCAAAAGTGTCAATATTATAAATTTTCTTAGTGGGGTACTGGGGTATATCCTAGTTCTGCAATTTATTTTCAATATCAGGGAATTCTATTTCTTCCATGTTTTGAATATAATCATTTTTATGATTAAATATAAATTTAAATAGGTTTAAAGCCATAGTGGTATCTCAAATGTTATTTTGTTAACTTATATGTTTCACTATTACCTTCATCTGGTTGCTACTGTAATTCGTCTTTTAATTCTGCTATAGTACT